GCAAAAAAATCAGCTATTATCTTCTTAGAGATCGGGTTTGCTTTTTCCATGGTTTTGTCGGGGGAGGGGGGAAACCCCAAACTTGTGTTACAACTTAAAAAGCCTCGTTTGAAACCCTGATTTTTATTGCAGGGCCCCCTTGACTTGGGTTTTTTCAACTTTTCGAGGGCAAAGCAATTACAGTGGGCCCCTCTTGACGATCACCCCCAAGAAACCAAATTTATGAAAGTGTTTTTTAGAAAGTGCGTTTGTACGGGTATGTTTGGGGGGTCTGAAATGGATAATCTACTTCACAAATATTCCTTTATGGGAAACAAATTCGGTCATACTGGCCCTAAAATTACTACTGGAATAAAAAATACTTAACGGGGGTCCACTGAAATTTGAAAAAATTACTCGCGTAAGGCAGAAAGTTCACAATTGTATTTTTTTTTTTACTTTCGTATTGGTTTTTTTTTCAGAATTATTGTTTATTACTTGGGCGAGATTTGTTAAAAACTTACTTATTTATCATATCATTCTTTTGCTTAGGTATACAGGTGGGGACCCCCGCTTTAACGATCACCCCCCAAGGCCCAAATTATGAAAGGTATTTATGAAGTCTTTTGTACGGTATTTTTGGGGGTTCTGAAATGGACTAATTACTTCACAAATTCCTTAGGGGAAAAAAATTCGGCATACGGACCTAAAAACTATTTGGAGTGAAAAAAGTTGTTAACCGGGGGCCCACGTATTCAGATTTGAGGGTTTGTCGGAATGCCCCCATCGTACGTCGAGGACCACCTGAAAAGTGACAATATTAAAAAGAATAATTGTTTCACACATGGGTTTAAAAAAAAAACATGGAAAAAAAGCTAGGTTATATTTAACAGAAAATATTTTTGGTTCCGGGAGAGCAAAACGTTGCCACTTTTAAAAAGTACATTAGTTTTTCACTTGTGTCTTTTTTTCCTAAAAAAGTTATTTGTTTCGTATTTTTTGTGGTATTTGAAATTAGACGGCATCAAAGGCTAGTTACCTTAAAAATGTTATGAAAAATATTTTTTAAAACTCTTTGCTAAATAAACATTTAAAATTAAATTTTTGTCTAAAAATGAAAAAAAGCAAATTTGAAAAAGGTAAATTTTTAACACTGTTTTTAAGGGGCGCCATGGAAAAAATTTTCTTGGATTTTTTGGGGGGGGATTTGGTGGGTAATTTTAATTGTTGCTAGTATGATTATACTTATATGTACCCGACCTAAATAAAATTCAGGTGTGATAGAGTACCCACGAAAGTGCTACGCTAAAATGCGTATTGGAGGTACTGGCAAGACCTGCTATGGGATCCCAACCATGTCTCAGTTAATGGTTGGGTTTCTGCACCAAAAATTGGTATGTGGCTATTTTGTTATATATTTTTTTCATGTGGGAACTGTTTTTTAGGGGGTGTGTCCCCTTTTGTAAAAATTTCTTTATGTAAAAGAAAAAATAAAATTTTTTCAAATTTTTTTTTGATTTAGGGAAAAGAGAAAAGCATAGACGCATTCGGTCCAGTTTGGACCATTAACAAGTCACTTTGTAAAATTTGGGTTTAGTCGGGCTGAAAACCCACCTAAGTCTTTCCTGCGTGCCCGGGTTTTTTGTGTATTGTTCCGTCACGGCATTGTGCCTTTTTTGTTCTTTCAAGATGAACTTTATAGTTTTATTCTCTTTTGGGCCACCGTGCCTCGGTGGGTGACTGCCCGTGTGTTGAAAAAATTTCTTCATTGTATTGCTGTGATTCGTTTGTGTTAGGAATTGCTATACCTTCCATATATCTTTGATGAGTTTTGCGAGTCTTTCTACTCCAGAGCCGAACCATGGGTTACTTGTATACAGTATGTCTAAGCCACATGACTTGTGCTGGGTCAACACTGGTTTTTTTATGTTCTGGTATTGAAAGAGGCGGTTACAAGGGGTTTAGAGGATCAACCCTTCATCACTACTCATACTGAATGATCCACGTGGGTTTAGAGGATGGAGGATCAAGCCTTCATCACTTCTTGTGCTGAATGATCCACCTGGGTTTAGAGGACATCGGATCGATCCTCCAGCACTCCTTGTACTGGATGATCCACATGGGTTTAGAGGATGGAGGATCAAGCCTTCATCACTTCTTGTGCTGAATGATCCACCTGGGTTTAGAGGACATCGGATCGATCCTCCAGCACTCCTTGTACTGGATGATCCACATGGGTTTAGAGGATGGAGGATCAAGCCTCCATAACTGCTTGTACTGAACAACTGTTGCGAATAAGAAATTTTATAAAGAACTTCAGAATGTGGTCTGTTACTATTTTCTTCATAGGCAACAAGATTTTGGATCAGAGTTAGTTAAAGGTATTTTAGAGTCTAGGGGAAATAATTTCAACTGGGAAACTCCATAGAATAATATTCAAATTTATTAAAGTATTTAAATATAATACTTTATCTTCTCTGTACCTAATATTATGTCTTAATGCTTTGTACAATAAATTTACAATACAGTGGACCCCCGCATAACGATTACCTCCGAATGCGACCAATTATGTAAGTGTATTTATGTAAGTGCATTTGTACGTGTATGTTTGGGGGTCTGAAATGGACTAATCTACTTCACAATATTCCTTATGGGAACAAATTCGGTCAGTACTGGCACCTGAACATACTTCTGGAGTGAAAAAATATCGTTAACCGGGGGTCCACTGTATACATTTAGTTCAAAATCGTGGAAATATCACATTAATAGGGAAGATTAATTTTTCTTCCTGTAATTAAGTCTTCACTAACATTTACATCTTTGTCTTAACAAGACAGTGTAAACTCAAACTACAAAATGTACAAGATTCAACAAGACCTTTGAATCCGGCCGTAAAGTAAGTAGAAAGCAAGAGTTTGTCTGGGAAGACGTATCTCTATGGATTACTGAACTGACCAAGAATATAAATATCAAAACAATCTTTCAGAGCAATGAAGAACAAACTGAGTCAGCTCTAGAGTCTAATTCTCAAACCCATTTAAACTATACACCCTAAGAGAGCCAATATACGATCAGTTGTCAAGGCTAGAACAGGAAGCGGACTGACTACTTGCCAGTCTGTTGACGCGTCGTCAGGTTGGATCAGCTGACCCAAACGTCAGTCAGCCGGACATAAACAATTGAACAATTCACCGGATGGTTCCGAGACTTATGCTCTATATACATAAGAAATCCTACCTAACAATAATAATAATAATAATAATAATAATAATAATAATAATAATAAAATAGGGACAATACCATGGTATTTTTTATATTTTAACAGATAATAATATAACGCCGAAAGTCTCTATTCTAGGTATAAACGGGGACTTTCGTGCTATAATATTAAGTGATGATCATATTCTCTTACAATAGTTAAATAACACAGGATGACCAATTTCCAAGATATAACAACAACCCACTTGGTTTGCTGCATCACATAAATAAATCAATGTGTTGTAAGCATACAAAATCCTTTTCACATTTTTAATCGTTACATTACCAGTATCTGCTAAATAATATTTAAGATAATGATGACATCAAATATTATTAGGGATAATGATTGATTATGTACCCACAGGAATAATGAATCACGATTAGTATCATTAGGTATAACGAAATTGAGCAAGAGACATGAAAATAAACCAAACTTCTTCGGAACACTGACAACTGAAAAGAAGAAAGACGGAGATCACGGAACGTGACGCAAAGATTGGAGCAACTTAAGAAGAAGTTACACACCGATGATGAAGAGTAAGTGTGTGTCAAGGTCCACAACTTGCTGTTTAGGGTCACAGTTGTCCAAGGGATCACAGCTGTTGTCCAGGTCACAGATGTATCCAGGATCACAGCTGTTGGTCCCCAGGGTCACGTTGTTTGTCATGGGTGTCAAGATCAACAGTGTCACAACAGGTGTGTCAAGGGTCACAGTTTGTTGCAACAGATGATTCAAGGGTTGCAATGGCTGCTGCTGATAACACCAGCAGAAGTCTGCTGGTAAAAATCATCTTTTGTAAGCTTTGTGGCTGAATGTAGTATTGTAGTGCCTGCCAGTGATGTAAAATCTATAATATCAATGGTAGTCATATAGATTTATGTCAGTGTCATCAGTCCACATAGATATTTGTGACTTAAGAAATCGTAATGGACCACGGCAGTGAAGGGACTTGAGCAGAGTTCGTCACGGCCACGCTAGCTGGAGATTCGTCTGTAAAAAAACTTGCATTGTGTGGTCACGAGAAGGTGCCTGAGCTAACCTCCATGTGTAAAAATATATCCTAGTTGGATGAATCTTATTGGGGGCTATCTGGTCTTAGTGGCTAACGCACGGGCTGGGATTTGAGACCCGCTGGTTCAATCCCGCCGGGGTATGGATTACGATAGATCTATTAAGTAGCATTTCATGTTTGGGTGCGATAGAGGTAAATCTGGCTTGGATTGATTATATACAGTGACGGGGAACCATTAAACACCAAGGGATCTTACTGACCTGTGGAATGGGTTTCAGTCACAATTAATTCCCAGGAAGATAGTCATAGATTGTCCATCACGTTGAACATCATGGTCATGTTGAACTATCAGGGTCATGTTGAACTATCAGGGTCATGGTTTGAACGTATCAGGGTCATGTTGAACTATCAAGGTCATTTGAACTATCAGGGTCATGTTGAACTATCAGGGTCATGTTTGAACTATCGAGTGGTCATGCTTGAACTTCAGGGTCATGTTTGAACTATCAGTGGTCCATGTTGAACTATCAGGGTTCATTGAACTATCAGGTCATTTGAACTATCATGGGTCATGTTGAACTATCAGGGTCCACGTTGAACTATCAGGGTCATGTTGAACTATCGAGGGTCATGTTTGAACTATTGGGTCAACTTGAACTATCAGGGTCATGTTGAACTATCAGAACACGTTGAACTATCAGGTCATGTTGAACTATCAGGGTCTCGTTGAACTACAGGGTTCACGTTTTGAACTATCAGGGTCATGTTTAACTATCAGGGTCACGTTGAACTATCAGGTCACGTTGAACTATCATGGGTCTCACTTGAACTATCAGGGGTCATGTTGAACTATAGGTCATGTTGAACTATCAGGTCATGTTGAACTATCAGGGTCACGGTGAACTATCAGGTCATGTTAACTATCAGGTCACGTTGAACTATCAGTCATGTTGAACTATCAAGGGTCATGTTTGAACTGATCAGGGTCACTTTGAAGTATCAGGGTCATGTTAACTATCATGGTCATGTGAACTATCGGGTCACGTTGAACTATCAGGGTCATGTTGACCTATCATGTCATGTTGAACTATCAGTCACGTTGACGTATCAGGGTCCATGTGAACTATCAGGTCCCATGTAACTATCAGGTCAACTTGAACTAGCAGGGTCATGTTTGAACTATCAGGGTCAGTTGAACTATAGGGTCCATGTGAACTATTCAGGGTCATGTTTGAAATAATCAGGGTCAACTTGAACTAACAGGTAATGTTGAACTATCAGGGTCACGTTTGAACTATCAAGGTCACGTTGACCTATCAAGGGTCATGTTGAAACAATCAGGGTCACGTTGAAACTAAAATCAGGGTCCATGTTGACTATCTGGGTCATGTTGAACATCAGGGTCAACTTTGAGTATCAGGGTCATGTTTGAACTATCAGTCCACGTTGAACTATGCATGGTCATGTTGAACTATCAGGGTCACGTTGAACTATCAGGGGGTCACGTTGAACTATCAGGGTCATCGTTGAACTATATCAGGTCGACGTTGAACAATCAGGGTCATCGTTGAACTATCAGGGTCACGTAGAAACGACAGGGTCACGTGTGAACTATCAGGGACACTGTTGAACTTCAGGGTCAACCGTTGAACTATCGAGGTTCACGTTGAACTATGAGGGTCACGTTGAACTACAGGGACACGTCGAACTATCAGCACGTTGAACTATCAGGGTCATGTTGAACTATCAGGGTCACGTGAACTATCAGGGTCACGTTTGAACTATCAGGGTCATGTTGAACATTCAGGGTCATGTTAACTATCAGGGTCACGTTGAAGTATCAGGTCCATTTTGAACTATCAGGGTCACGTTGAACTATCAGGGACACGTTGAAACTATCAGGGTCCACGTTGACCTATTCAGGTCACGTTTGAACTATACAGGTCCCATGTTGAACTATCAGGGTCATGTTGAACTATCAGGGGTCACGTTGAACTATCGAGGGTCACACGTTGAACCTATTCAGGGTCATGTTGAACTATCAGGGTCACGTTGACTATCAGGGTCAGGTTGAACTATCAGGGTCATGTTGAACTATCGGGCCCACGTTGAAGTATCAGGGTCATTTGAAACTATCAGGTCAACGTTGAACTATCAGGGTCATGTTGAACTATCAGGGTCACGTTGACCTATCAGGGTCACGTTGAACTATCAGGGTCACGTTGAACTATCAGTCACGTTGAACTAATATCAGGGTCACGTTGAACTATCAGGGTCCACTTTGAACTATCAGGTCACGTTAACTTCATGGACACGTTGAACTATCAGGGTCCCCACGTTGAAACTACCAAGGGTCATGTTGAACTATCAGTGTCACTGAACTATCAGGGTCAGTTGAACTATCAGGGCATGTTGAACTATAGGTCACGTTGAACTATCCAGTGTCACGTTGACCATCAGGACACGTGAACTATCAGGGCACGTTGAACTATCAGGGTCATGTTGAACTATCAGGGTCACGTGAACTATTCAGGGTCATGTTGAACTATCAGGGTCACGTTTGAACTATCAGGGTCACGTTGAACTATCAGGGACACGTTGAACTATCAGGTCATGTTGAACGTCAGGGTCACGTTGAACTCTTCAGGGTCACGTTGAACCTATCAGGGTCACGTTGAACTAATCAGGGAACAACGTGAACTATCAGGTACCCGTTTAACTATCAGGGTCAACGTTGAACTATCAGGGATCACGTTGAACTATCAGGGACACTGAACTATCAGGTCACGTTGAACATCAGGGACACATTGAACTATCAGGGTCACGATGAACTAATCAGGAGGGACCATCAGCAACTCTGCGTCATAAACGTCGACTCAGTTAAGCTGTGAGTGGTAAATTTTGGTGCTATAACTGAAGAGAAACGTAATGTGAAAAATGATAATAAAGTACCGACTAAAGTGATGACTAAGTCACCCATGAAACAGTTAGATTATCTTTAATGAGAAAAAAAACCATACCCCCCCCAGCCGGGATAGAAGCCCGCGGTCCATAGAGTCTCCAAACCCAGCAGCCCGTTCGCTTTAGATCCACTAGACCAGCTAGCCACAATAAGATTCATCCACTAGTAATTTCCACACCATAGGAAAGGTTAGCACAGGCACCGCTGTGACCACAAATGCAAGTTTTTTACAGACGAATCATCCATCTAGCGTGGCCGTGACGAACTCCTAGCTCAAGTCCCTTCACTGCCGTCACATGATTAAAGGAAATCGTAATGACAACATTTTGCTACACAGTAGGTTTCATCCAGTCAAATACAGCAGCAGCAGGTGTAGTATTAGTGAAATGAAGATTATGTAATCAGTGCATCAGACCTTGGAGAAAAGTATTTGAGGGGGTCATCCCTCAGCCTGGAGAAGAGTTCATTCCATGGGGGTCTCTAGTCCCTGAGCCTTGTGAGAGTTCATTTCCATGGGGGTCAGTCCTGAGCCTGGAGAAGAGTTCATTCCATGGGTTGTCAGTCCCTTAGCCTGGAGAAGATTATTTCCATGGGGGTCAGACCTGAGCCTAAGAGAAGAGTCATTTCCATAGGGGATCAGACCTGAGCCTAGAGAAGAGTTCATTTTCCATGGGGTCAGTCCCGAAGCCTAGAGAAGAGTCAGTTTCCAGGGGGGTCAGTCCCTGAGCCTGGGAAGAGTTCATTTCCATGGGGGTCAGTCCCTGAGCCTGAGAAGATTTCATTTCCATGGGGGTCAGTCCTTAGCCTGGAGAAAGAGTTCATTTCCATGGGGTCATCCCCTGAGCCTGGAGAAAGGAGTTCATTTCCATGGGGGACAGGAATCCCTGAACCTGGATGAGATTCATTTCCATGGGGGGTCAGTCCCCTGAGCCTGGAGAAGAGTTCATTTCCATGGGGTCCAGTCCCTGAGCCTGGAGAAGAGTTCAATTTCCATGGGGGTCAGTCCCTGAACTGGAGAAGAGTTTCATTTCCATGGGGGTCCAGTCCCTGACCTGGAGAAGAGTTCATTTCCATGGGGGTCCATCCCTGAACCTGGAGAAATTCATTACCATGGGGTCATCCCCTGAACCTGGAGAAAAATTCATTTCCATGGGGTCAGTCCCTGAGCCTGGAGAAGAGATTCATTTCCTGGGTCAGTCAGTTGAGCCAGGAGAAGTAGTTACATTTCCATGGGGATCAGTCCCTGAACCTGGAGAAGAGTTTCATTTCCATGGGGTCAGGTCCCCTTAACCTGGAGAAGAGTCATTTCGCTGGGGGTCATCGTTGAGCCAGGAGAAGAGTTCATTTCCATGGGACAGATCGCCTGAGCCTGGGGAATAGTTTCATCACTGTAGTCTGCATGGTGAGTGACCATATTATATAAAATCTTGCCTCATGTGGTGCATGATGAGAATAACAAAATTCTCACTTTTGTGTTGGTTAGAAAATGTCAATTTGGAGGTGTTTTCTATCTAGGCTGTGTTTTATAGTGATTTTAAGCTGCTGCTTTTATTATGATAGAATAGAAGACTTGCCTGCTTCCAAATAGGATGGAGTTTGTGCTCCCGGTCTGAAAGTTGCTTGAAATTGGCCTCAAAGTTATTGAAATTTTGGGGTCTTAACAATTTGAGGGTTAATCACAGATGAAAATAAGTTGTTGCCATGGATGAATTAATCCATGTATTCACAGCACATGTAGTTAAAAATGATACAATTTTTGGGGGAAAATTTATTTTAGGGACTGGAAAATTTATTTTATGGACTGTTGAATTTGTTTTTTAATAATTCCTTTTGTTTTGCAGTTAACTGGGTCGACCACAGCAAGACCTTGAGAGAGCAAGGCATTGATGAGACGGAAATATTACTGCTGCGGAGAAAATATTTCTTCTCGGATCAAAACATCGATTCCAGAGATCCGGTTCAGTTGGGTCTGCTGTATGTTCAGGTTAGTGAACAATAACACTGATATACATAACTGTTTTATATAACCAACAATAACACTGATATACATAACTGGTTCATACAACCAACAGGTTGATGAATCAGTTACTTGTGTAACTCTTGGCTATCTTTATTGTGGAGAGGTTTTGCCAACCAGTGCCTTCATCAGTCAGTTCAGAGGAAAATGTTAGATATAAAAAGGAGTCTGAGGTTAATCAGTCCCTCAGTCTGGAGTCTGATGTAATCAAAGTCCCCTCAGTCCTGGATCTGATGTAAATCATCCCCCTCATCTGTAGTCTGAATGTAATCAGTCCTCAGTCTGGAGTCCTGATGTAATCATCCCGTCAGTCTGGAGTCTGAGTAACAAGTTCGCTCATCCTGGAGTCCAATGTGATCAGCCCACCAGTCTTGATGGACTGATGGGGTACATCAGTCCCAGGCCTGAGGGATTGATTACCTCAAAACTACTACTGAATCTTCCACCATCTTCTCATTCTTGGACTGAGGAAGCCACTGGTTGGCAAAACCCTCCACAGTAAACATACCCAAGTGTTGCACAAGCGTCTAACCTCATCAATAACAGGCAATAGCTCACTTACTTCTTCTGCTCTCTGGTAAAGTTAACCTAGAATACTAAATTATATTTATTTTTTTTTTCAATTAGTCGGCCGCGTCCCATCCAAGGCAGGGTGACCCACCAAGGAGGGTGACCCACCGAGGCAGGTGACCCACCGAGGCAGGGTCACCAACCAAGAAGGCAGGGTGACCCACCGAGGCAGGGTGACCCACCGAGGCTGGGTGACCCACCGAGGCCAAGGGTGACCCACCAGGCAGAGTGAACCCACTCTAGGCAGGGTGAACCCAGAAAGAAAGAAAATCCCCCAAAAGAAAATACTTTCAACATTCAAACACTGTCACTTCACTCAGACATAATCAACCTGTTTTTTGCAGATGTACCCGATACTACAGTTTTTAAGAAGCACGTATTTATTTTAATAATAATTTTTTATGTGCGTCTGATGAATGTAGAGTAAGTGAAATAGGAAAACAAATGGACTCCAATTACTGAATTTTTTTTTTGTTTGATCTGGTATTTAGTAAAAGTGTGAATTCAGAGAGGGAGAGGTGCTTGGGCATTATGTAGTGGAGCCTCGGGCGGGGGGTTTAAGAGCTGGATGCGATGTATTATCGATGTACCCAGAAGTGACAAAACTAGATGGGTGGGTGGGAGAGTCTATCAGTTTTGGGGATTATGGTTGTCCTAGTAACTGAGCCAGAATACATATGTTTGGGTTGCACATCACGGTGCTGTAGTAATGGAGGCTTAGGTGGGAAGGATAGTATCAGGGGGGTCATTGGTTCTCTAGGTGTTGGACGCATTTCAGACCCCCAAACATACACTACAAACACACTTACATAAATACACTTACATATTGCCGCATGGAGCTGATCGTGAAACCGGGGTCCACTGTAGTTGTCCCACTTTCACGACACTTGTATCTTTCTTTCCCTTTCAACACACTGGCCAAATCCCACCGAGGCAGGGTTCCCCAAAAGAAAAACGAAAGCTTTCCTCTTTTACATTTAGTAAAATATAGTACAGTAGAAGGGGTTACTAGCCCCTTGCTCCGCATTTTAGTTGCCTCTTACAACACACATGCATACTGCGGAGAATTTTGTTCACTTCCCCAGGAGAGACAGGAAAACAAAAAAGAACAGAACTAAGTAAGAAAATAGATGAAAAACCCAGAGGGGTGTGTATATATATATATGCTTGTACATGTATGTGTAGTGATACCTACGTTTAAGTAAGAGTAGCAAGTCGTACCTGATATCTTGCATGTTTATGAGACAGAAAAATGGACACCAGCAATCCTACCATCATTAAACAATTACAGGCTTTTCGTTGTTACCACTCTCTTGGCAGTGACGGTAGTACCTCCTGGTGGTTGGTTGTCTACCAACCTACTACCTAGGGCTTGTATATTCTAGTAAAATTAACTAAACAGTACACTGGGGAAGCAAATTAGTTTTAATTTTACTTAAAAAGTGCGCCAAAATTTATAACATATGCAAAGCTTTTCAACTACTAATCAATTTTGATGCACTTTTTTCAATTCTGTTTACAAAAAATTGCATTGTATACTTGAGTTTTATATGAGAGTCAACTGTAGTCATTCGAAAAAGTAATACTGTGACAGGGCTTAATCACCACACTCAGTCGAAAGTTAACCCTTTGACTGTCGCAACCCCCAATCCTGAGGTGTCTCCTGGTGTCGCAAAATTAAAAAAAAAAAAAAATATTTTTTATATGAAATAATAGAGAATCTTTATTTCCTGATATGTAATGACACCAAAAAAACGAAATTTGTATGGAAAACTGACGGATTATGCCTCCGCTTAGTTACGACCTCGGCGCTGTTTACAATTCGCGATTTCGCCCACATTGAGCCCTATTTCGGCTAATTCCATTGTTCCAGTCGCCCAAACTCATTGTTATTTTCTTTAGAACTCCATTTTTTCTATCGGATTGAGTACAAGAAACTGCCCATTTACTTATTTCAACTACCTAATAATGGGTCAGAGATTTGCAATTGGCCAATTTCACGAAAACAAAAAAATATGACATTTCAAAATAAGTCCACAATGAAACAATCAGACATTCCTGCTCTGAAAATAACATTTTTCTTGTTCATCAGTCCATGTCCCAGGCCCCTCTGATATTACTCTTGCTATCTATTTTTGATTTTTTATTCAAACAAAAAATAGAAGACTTACAATTATGGGCAAACTACTGCAATACGTAAAAATTGTATAAATAACATCAAACCCATTCATGACTGCATATTAGAATGCTAGTTTGGACATTTATTGGACAATGACATCCATTTTGTTTATTTTGAACATTGGGCAAAATCAAACATTTTCCCCTACTTTGAGCTTCTTTCTAGGTTCTTTTTATAGTAAAATCAATCAAAATCACCTCTATTTCTATAATATGTTTTCCATTCTATCAAATGAGACCAAGAAAACGAAAATACAACCATAAATACTATACGAAAATAGACCACAAAGTAGGCATTTTAATTAAAAAAAACGGTCGGAGTTTTTTTTTTTCTCATTATGCACTGCGTGCTCCAGGATTTTTTTATATGGCGCACACTGACCACACAGACCCATTCTCTCACATGTGGGCCTACCAGCTTTCTCCTGCTTGATTTGAAGCCGCTAGAATTTATGAGTATATATACGTCAAACACGGTACCTCATAAGACGTATATATACGGCCGCGACAGTCAAAGGGCTAAAAGGCACGACTAAGATCAACAAGACTAAATATCTACTGTAATCACATTAAAATAATAAAGATAGTCCTCTGCTTACGATGGTGTTATGTTCCGACAAACCACCATAAGTCAAAAATATTGTAAGTCGAATATGAATATGCTATGCTAAATAAACAAGTGAATAAATAATTGCTATCACTGAATTAAACAAATAATTAATATATCTGACTAAATACCAGTATTGAAAAGTAAATAAATGAATATAAATTACAGTTCGATTAGACGGACTTGAGTCCTGGAGGTGGGAAGTACAATGGCAGCACTTTAAAGGAGGGGTTTGGATATTGGCAGTTTGGAGGGACGTCTAAATTATTGCATCTGAGCGCCTCTGCAAAGACAGTGATTGTGTATGAGTAACGGTGAAAGTATTTTCTTTCTTTTGGATTTTTTTCTTTCATTTTAGGTCACCCTGCCTCGGTAGGAAACGGCCGACGTGTTAAGAAAAAAAAAAACTGCAGACTTCCCATCTTCATACTGGGTAGTTATCATGAAATCAAAATATCATAAGCTTAACCAGAATAAGTTGAGGAGCACCTGTTTTGAGAATTGCATATAATTATAATTTTACAAGAGTTTGTTAATGTAATATTTCCCAACAGTGCCGGGACGCCATCATTGACGGAACTCATCCGGTGACATTAGAACGTGCTTGTAGGTTTGCTGGCATCCAGTGTCAGATACAATTTGGTGATCACGTTGAAGCTAAGCATAAGGCTGGCTTCCCCTAAGTTAATTTATTTT